TTTCCCTATTATTTAAGAAGAAACAAAGTCCTATCTCATTTAAGCCCCAGTATTTGGGATCTCCCTGATCTGCTGCTGCTGCTGCTGCTTTTATTTTATTTTATTTTTTTGGTACCGGAGATTGAACCCGACTGAGCCTTTTTAAATTTTTATTTTGATACAGGGTCTTGCTGAGTTGCTTAGAGCCTTGCTCAGTTGCTGGCTTTGAACTTGCAAATTCTCCTTGCTCAGCCTCCTGAACTGCTGGTATTACAGAAGTGAGCCACCACACCCCAGCCCTGTTCTGCTTCTTAAACTTACCTTAATGAGCACAACTATAGAAGAGGATATCTGCTTTCCAACCCTCCATCCCTGGTCTCTACCTGGGGGGCAGGCCCTAAATCTGGAGGAAGGAGAGGCAGGAAGTGTGTATCTCAGGAAAATCATGCCCATCTTACCCCTTGCCAACGTTGAGCTGTGTCTAGGATACTAGTTTATGATATGGGAAAAGGGAATGAGCTTCAGATGGAGATGGGATTAAAACTGTTCAACTAGATTGCAGAACTGATACCTCAAGATGACTGAGAGGTGTGAAATATGCTCAAGATATTACCCAGGGGTGACAAGAGTTTCAGAATCCAATTGATGAAATGACTAAATAAAATAAAAACTACCTCATATTTAGATTTGACTATGTTGGTAATCTGCATAAACTATAATTTAAAACCCTCAGAAAGTCCCTGTATTTAGAAATTCCCCTCAGGCCTCATTCACTGCCTAGAGTTTAGTCTTATTCCTTTCTAAGGAAGTCAATCTCTAGAATCTAGATCAAAATACTTCCTCTTTTTTTAATATTCATGTGTGTGGGTGTGTGTGTGTGTGTGTGTGTGTGTGTGTGTGTTCGCTTTCTCTTTAAAATTCACACATGCTCCCCATTTACACTTGTGCCCTCTATCCACCCTTTCACTTTCTCTCACGGAAGAAAGAGAAAGATCTCATTGTTTCTAGTCTCTTTGCCGCTCTCACTCTTCTTTGTACCTCTGACTCCCAAGCGGCCCCTTTCAGATTCTTCCCTCTCCCTAAGAAAACGGTTTTCCCCTCCTACCACATTCAGCAGAGTCCCCAGGCCATCAGAGATGGCTACACCAACCCAGAGTAGTGGGTTGAATAGTGGTCCCCTCCCCCAGAAAGACTCATGTCCTAGAACATCAAAATATGACCTTATTGGAGATAGAGTCTTTGCAGATGTGATTAAACTAAGGATCAAGATGTGGTCACAAAGGATTGAGGAGGCTCCTAAATCCAACTAGTGTATCCTTGTAAAAGATGGGAAAAGAGAAGGCACAGAGACTGCAGAGAAGACCTGGTGAAGATGGAGGCAAAGCCACACACCACTAAGGACTGCCAGCAACCACAGAAGCCAGGAGAGGCCTGGGATGATTTCTCCCACAGAAACTCCAGAAAGTACAAATCCTGCCAACACTTGATTTCTGACTCCAGCCTTCTGAATGGTGAGAAGTCCATTTCCGTTGTCGTAAGCCACTGTGTAGTGGTCATTTTCATAACAGCCTGGGCGACTAACACACCAAGCCCACCGATGCTCTCTCTGCTCACGATGTCCTTCCAACTTTGCACCCACCGAGGCTTCCCCTTTGAAGGGCCTTCCCAGCCACAAGCCCAGGACCCTCACGCTGCCAAGTGTTGTCCAAGCAGCTCTCCACAGGGCTCATCCTCGCAGCCCTCCTTGATCAGTAACCTAGGTTTCTCATCCTGTTTGCTGTGACTGAATGTTTGTGTCAAAATTCTTATGTTGAAATCCTAATCATCAAAGGAATGGTAATAAGCGGGGCTTGGGGTGGTGACTGGGTTATGGAGTGGGATTAGGGCCCTTATAAAAGAGACCCAGAGCTCCTTCCTCCTCCCCGGTATATGAAGACACAGCTGGAACGTATGAAGCAGAAAGATGGCCCTTGCTAGACACCAAGACTGCCAGCACCTTGATCTCAGGCTAGTCTCCAGAGTCGTGAGCAATGAATTTCTTCTGTTTATAAGACATTCAGTCTATGGCACTTCATTACAGCAGTCAAAGTGGATGATTCCTTCCCTCATTATGTAACCTGTTACATGAGTAAGGAATCTAATCTTTATTCTCATCACAGTGTTTAATAATTGTAAATATATTAAGGCAAACTTCACAAACTGGCACATCTGTTGGGGGCATCTGAAAGTATAGCACAAACATGGATGGAGGGTATTGGATATGGAAAATGACAAACCCCAAAGTAGTGTGGCCTAGGGACAGGGGATGAGGGAGAGGCAATACATTGATAACATTGATCCTTTCCCAATACATTCTTTCCTAGTGACAAGACAGGCCCTTGGGAGGAGATATCCATCAGGTCTGGAATGTCAGCCTCTGGGAAGAGGCCAGAGGATTGATCCTTCCCAAGACAAATCCTTCCCCAGACCCTTTATCTGGCCCAGAAAAGACAAACCCCAGATACTGACTGCTGACCCTTGACACCCCCATCTCGCCCAGTAAAACTGATCCCAAATTCCTGAGGCCCAACCTGACATGCTCATGAATTAAGTCACCTCTCAGTGTAACTATATAAGTATAAACTCTCCCTTTGCCCAGGGGCTCATTTTCCACCAGGAAAGCGGGTCCATCAGAGGCATCACTCTGTCCCTTCATGCTGCACTGAGCCATGAAGTTTGCAACCAGCCTGGTCCTTTTGTGCTACAGAAGAGACGTTCTACCTGTGTGGAATTCTGTTTTTGTTGTTGTTTGTTTGTTTGTTTTCCTCCATCTTTCTGAGTCCATTTTTTAATCTCACCGAGAAAGGCTGGGAAGCAAAATTTTCTGTTGTTTTTAAATTTTATTTTTAATTAATAATTGCTTATGTTTATGGGGTACAATGGGATGTGGCACACGTAGACTCTGTTGAATGAGTAAATCCAGTTAATTAACTATCCCTTCACATACTTATTGTTCCTTGGTGGTGAGAACATTTAAAATATATGAGAAATGCTGAAATATACATTTATTAAAATTTTGATTGACATGAAATGATGGTGTATATTTAAGAGGTGCAGTGTGATATTTCTACACAGGTGCACAGCATATGCACTGATCAAATCCGAGTAACCTTCACAACTGTCTCAACAGAAGGGCTTGCTCCACGCAGGCAGAAGGGGCTGCTGGGTGTTGGGGCTGCACTGGGGAAAGGCTCGCCCGGTCTCTGCAGGAAGCGTTCCTTTCTCCCAACATCAGGTGACACCCGGGGTCCTCTCACCTAACAAGTGGCCAGTGGAGACAAGCATGGGGACACCCAAGCAAAGACAAAGGTATCCAAGACCAAGGGCAGCTCTCCTAGCAGCCTGAGAGACCAGCCCGCCAGCAGGGCAGCTCAGCATGGACTCCACCAGGGCCACCCCTGCTGTGCTCCAGCACAGCCACCTCTGCATTGAGGGCTTCAAAGATGTTGTGGCCAGTCAGGGAGACGCCTTCATCCAAGTTTTGACCGTGTATCTACCATGGACGATGAACTGTCCACTCAGCACCAGGGAGAAGCGGGGAACGCATTGAGAAGGGTCCCATTTAACTGCGGCTTGCATTTCAGTGGAGGAGAAACCGAATAAACAGGTAAACAAGTAAACAAGATAACTGCAGAATGATGTGCTGTGATGAAAACCAACAGGAGAAAGTGCCCCCCAAGGACTAGGGGTGGGTTGTTTTAGAATGGGGGAGCAGCCCACACCCCCCCCCCCACATCCCCACTGGAGGTGACATTGGGATGTGAAAGGTGAGGACAAGCCAAGCTGTTCAGGGAGACTAATCTCAGCAGGGGAAGTGGTGTGGCCAAGTGTAATGGTGACACAGTGGGGAACCAGTGTGATGCACTGGGGGACCAGCCAGAAGGCAACTGGGCTGGATTAGAAGTAAAGGGGACAGTGCAGAGAGGTGAGCAGGCGGATCATGATAGCAACCCAGGTCACTGGGAGGAGTTGGACTCTTGTTCCAACTGCAAAGGGAGGTCACTAGAAGGCTTTAAGCAGGGAATGGCCTAATATAATTTACATCTTAAAAAACCCACTCTAATGTGGGAGGCAAGAGTAAGAGCGAGGAGGCCAGTTAAGAGGCTTTGCAAATTGGTGCAGCCAATTTGGAAAGCAGTATGGAGATTTCTTGGAAAGCTGGAAATGGAGCCACCATTTGACCCAGCTATTCCCCTTCTCGGTCTATTCCCTAAAGACCTAAAAAGAGCATGCTACAGGGACACTGCTACATCGATGTTCATAGCAGCACAATTCACAATAGCTAGACTGTGGAACCAACCTAGATGCCCTTCAATGGATGAATGGATAAAAAAAATGTGGCATTTATACACAATGGAGTATTACTCTGCATTAAAAAATGACAAAATCATAGAATTTACAGGGAAATGGATGGCATTAGAGCAGATTATGCTAAGTGAAGCTAGCCAATCCCTAAAAAACAAATGCCAAATGTCTTCTTTGATATAAGGAGAGTAACTAAGAACAGAGTAAGGTCGAAGAGCAGGAGAAGAAGATTAACATTAAACAGGGATGAGAGGTGGGAGGGAAAGGGAGAGAGAAGGGAAAATGCATGGAAATGGAAGGAGACCCTCAGAGTTATACAAAAGTACATACAAGAGGAAGTGAGGGGAAGGGGAAAAATAATATAAGGGGGACAAACGAATGTCAGTAGAGGGAGCAGAGAGAGAAGAGGGGAGGGGAGGGGAGGGGAGGGGAGGGGAGGGGAGGGGGGATAGTAGAGGATAGGAAAGGCAGCAGAATACAACAGACACTAGTATGGCAATATGTAAATCAATGGATGTGTAACTGATGTGATTCTGCAATCTGTATATGGGGTAAAAATGGGAGCTCATAACCCACTTGAATCAAATTGTGAAATATGATATATCAAGAACTATGTAATGTTTTGAACAGCCAACAATAAAAAATTAAAAAAAAAAATAGAAAAAAAAAAAAAGAGGCTTTGCAGTAGCACAGGCTGATCCAGGTGCCTCACATTGATGGATGCTTTGCTCCAGGTTGCAGAGTAGAACTTGCACACTGTTCTCTCATAATAGGTCCACACAGGAAGGAAATCAGAGAAAGCTGTACCATGGCTCTGTGCTGCAGATGGCCGTATATGTTCTAAGAGGCTGTATCAGAGGAATCCAAAGTGGCTTCAACAGATGGAGGTTTACTTCTCTGTCACACAACAGAGCTGAGCAGTCCAGACCTGCGGCGAGGCTGTCTTGGGCAGCACAAGTGGGTAGAATGAAGAGCACATCTACATGTGACTTTCACCTCTAGTTCTAGATGGCTTATCCAATTCTACACTCATCTTTCCTTTGTCAGTGGAACTGACAAAGGAATCCACGCTCATCTTTCTTAGAGACATAGCACAGAGAGGCACACAGGTTCCAGTTCCATCCCAGTGCTAAGAGTTCAGTCACATGTCCACATGGAGCCACAAGGAATGCTGGGAAATGCAGTCTCCAGCTGGGTTGTCAAGGGTCCTAATAAAACTGGAGTCATTTAATATTAAATGAGAGGATAATGGTTATTCATGGTGACTAATAATCTCCATCACAATATTTTTAAATTTATCTGAATAACCATGTTATGGACTGTATTATGCCCCACGCCAAATTCCTATGTCAAAGCCCTAACTCCCACTACCTTAAAATGTGACTGTATTTGGAGACATAATAAAGAGGTGATTAAGGTTAAATGAGGTCATTCAATGGGAACTTAATCCAGTATGAATAGTGTCCTTGTAAGAAGAGGAAGGGACACCAGGGATGTGCACACAGAGAAGAGACCCTGTGAGCACACAAAGAAGGTGACCTTCTGTAAACCAGGAAGCTTCACCAGAAACCAACCCTTCTGGCACAGAAATTTATTTTAGACTTTAGTCTCTAGAACTGTCAGGAAATAAATTTCTGTTGTTTAAACCACCCAGTCTACAGTATTCTGTTATGGCAGCCCTGAAGAACAATACGCACTCCTTCTCAGTAATGGTTACAGGAAAGGCAATCCCATTCCCACTCCTCTACCCTCTTACCTAACCCCCCACAGTAACTTAGTTCAGGTGGGAGACACTAGAGATATCTCCAACACTAGAGAGGGAGAGAAAGTTTGGGCAGTTGGCCATTCTGCTTTCAAACTTCCTCAGAGCTCAGCTCTATCCCTGCCTTTGGGTTCTGAGACATCTCTAGATTCTTGAAATTAAATACCCTTTTTCTCAAGTTGGTATCAGGTGTTGGCAACCAGAATTCAACAGAGAAAGTAGAATATTCATGGAGAAAGAAAACCTTTATCTAAAAAAGAAATAGATCCCTTATGATAAACCTTTCATATGTCTGAAATGTGTGTGTGTGTTAGTACATCACAAAAATGTAGATTTTAATTCTTTTTAAAAAGGTTACAATTAATATAGTTTAATGTCCACAAATTTTGTGGGAAACATATTATTAAACTTAAAAATATTTGATCATTTAAAATCTGTGCCGTGGATTTTTGTGGGTGGTTTTTGTTAGTTGTTGTTTTTAGTCTAGGAAACAGTGCAACACAGGCTGTGGAAGAATTTGCCATTTGAGAGAGGGCCTATGAAGGAGAACAGTGTTCTCCAAAAGAGCAAGGAAGAGCTAATGTAGACAGAGAGGAGCACTGAAATTTCCTTATGGCTTATTTCTTCACAGTGATTCATTCATTATGAAACTGGCTTATTGAATGAATGAAATCCAGAAGGAAATCCACTTCCTTACAACCAGGTTCTGTTGGATCTCCCTCCACAACACCTGATCTTGGGAAGATCCCATACATTCTAGTAATTCTCAAGTCTCATTTTTGTAATTGTACTTCTACATCAGGATTAAATGGCTCAGACTAGTTCCAGTTAACAGAATCTCACACTCAAAAGCTCATTCAAAATTCAGCCTTATCCCTAGCTCAGGCCTTCTGTTCAGTGAAGGGAGGAAGGAATGTAACCAATTGTTTTACTTTTCCTTGGTCTTCTCCGCCTTCTTATATTCTGGATGTCCCTAGAGCTTTGCAAGGAAAGAGGGTATTATACAAAGAGGCATGTCCCTGCCGTTAACTACTGGTTTAGGCAAATAGGCTATCACACTCCTACTTCCTGTTGTGTCAGAAACCAAAAGGTGGCCCTTTTATGGCATGCATCTGTGGGTTATTTGGAGACCCAAATATAGAGTAGACTCCATATCACACAGTTCCTTAATGCAAATGGCACACAATCTGGCTGATCTCTTCCACAACTCCTGCAATGCACCTCTTCCCCCCAACCCCTTGGCCTCTGGGTGCCACAATATCTCTGCACAATAGGCTGCCTTGTTGGTTGAGGTCCTATTGTGACAACTCAAACCCAGCTACCATGGTCAGTCTGGCCCACAGGAAATGCCTTTGCCATGCTGATGATGGAAGGACAGGTTGCAGTCACTGTACCCCTTCTCTTGTCCTACCATTCTGTGCTGCCCAAGCCAACCTCTCTCCTTTTCTCCAGTACAAGCACTCATCTATTCACTCAACAAATACTTATGCAGCACCTATAAATAGCCAAGAATCACACCTTGCCTGCTGCATGGATCTTATACTCCTGTTCCTCTGCAAACTTTCAGTCTGGAAGGAGAATGACAGACTACTTTCCTATATTCTGGGAGCCCCTCTCACTTGCTCTTTGAAGGTATTCAAAGCAATCTCGCCATATTTTGGAGCCTCCACTTAATGACTCTCTAAATGACCCTTTTGAATCCAGTATTCTAGAGATGGCAACGTGGACTGATAATTACTAGTCCTTTTCTGCTCTTTTAGGAAGTCCAGCCTGGCTGTGTCTCTCTCTCTCTCTGTGAATATGGGAGCATTTATTGCCTTTCATCAGCTTTGGGCATTAGGCAAAAGTCGAAGACAACCACAACAACAAAAAAAAATTTTGATATCAAATGACACATAAATTTGACTCTCAGTGTCTTTGGCAAGCAAGTATACCCAAGTCTTTCACATCAGAAGCCTATAACTGAAGGCCGTATTTCCTATTATACACACATATTATAATGCCATGAGTTTCCAATGGTTAAATACATGTTTGTGTGTCAGAGTCAAAAAGTCAATAAACTATTACTCACATGTAGAGAAAATACTGTCTTATATTTCATAACGGGCCTAATATTTTTCCTAGGCCCAAAGCTTAGGATGATAAAACTCACCCAGAGTCCAATGAGGATTCAGAGGAGGCTCCAAGGACCAGTGCATACAGTTCTGAGGCCACCTCTTTTCTTGATGACATGAAGTCACAAAGTCTCCTTTCCCTCTTTCATTTGGGAAAGGAGAGTGGGGAAGAAAGATCCCTGAATGAGAATTTACTCAAAAAAGACTGTTTCAATGTGAAAACGGAGAGTAAACAGGAAGATACTAAGATTTCTCTAATTGGCAAAATGAGCATCACCTTTATCCCCACCCCAAACCTAATTCCCCAACTCAGTTGAAACAAGGTTTCCATTGTATCTTCCCCAAAGACATGGTGGATATGGAAGCAGCCCCAGATAGGAGCTAGAAATGATATTCATCAGAGTTCAAGATAATGGTGTTAATTGGGATTTCCTGACTTTAAGTTTTCACATCATTGTTTTCATTGACTAGTGTTAAGTTCATATTAAAAGCAGCTCTGATGTTAGCCCAAAAAAGTCCCTGTTTGCTCTTCTCCAAGGGCCATTCCAAGTAAGTGCGCTGTGTCATGAGAGCCCTCAGCTTGTGATACTTGTTGGGAATGCTATTGGGTGGGATGGGTTCCAGTAAGATCAGGAGTAAGTTATCAGACCCTTCATGGAAGAGATTGTGGTGGGCAAAGTACAGCTCATAATGGCACCACTCACTCTGGACAAAGTTGGGGGACAAAACAAAGATGGACTTGTAGCTCTTCTCAATGCAATTTATGATATTTTCCACAATGCTCTTGCCAGGAACAAAGTTTCTTTCATGGAGACAGATCCGGATATCTTCTTTTTCTAGGCAGGGTACTAGTTCATTTTTTACCCAGGCAGAATCATGTTCACTGTATGAAATAAAAGCATGGAACTGAAGATTTCTTTGGAGTTCTTCCAAGGGGATGTTCCTAGTTCTGTGCCGAGTCTGGGCCCACTGACACACCATCCTGAGATACCAGGGCAGATCCAAGTAGAGGCAGAAGAAGGTCACAGAACCAGCTAACACCAGCACCACGACCCCAATGGTGACAATCAGCAGACCTGTGTTACAGGATAATGGAGACACATGGAAGTCCTTTAGTGGGGTTCCCTTATAGCTTTCTGGGTAGTCACACTTATAAGCATCAGGCCAGCCCTCTACCACTTCACTTGGTAGTTGGCCTATATGTTGGATGAAGTCTCTGAGCTCACATGTGCATTGGAATGGGTTGCTCCCTGCTTGTATGGACTTCATCTTCTGGCAGCTCTGGAAGAAATCAGCTGATGGGTGGGAAATAGAATTATGGTCAATGATCAGTACAGAGAGGCTGCTGAAGGTACCACATCCGGGAAGGTCAGCTAAAGAATTGAATGCTACGTTGAGTTCTTGCAAAGCTTCCAGATGGGTGACATCTTTAGGGATGTTCATGATTCTGTTATTGTGAAGATCAAGTACCTTGACCTTGGGAGGCAAACAGCTGAAAACTGAGTCAGTAAGTATATTTGAAGACATATTTAATACCACTATACTTTCAACCCAAGTGCAATTTTCCTCAAGTCTATGAGATTCCAGAGAATTCAAGCTAACATCCAGGAATTCCAAGGACGGCATATTCTTTGTCATGAGAGATACTTTACAAAGGTTTTTTAATCCATTTTTTTGCAAGATAAGTGTCTCCAATTGCACTAAAGTGGAACAGTTTTGAAAAACACTATCTGTGAACACATTCTGGGTAAAGTTCAAAAATTTAAATGTGCTTGGTGCTTGAGGACAAAGCATATGAATAAAAGGTGTGTCTGATATGGTTAACATCATAATGTTCATCTCAGAAAACACTGTGTACAACGCTGTCTGTGAGAAGATAAAAACTTTGTTTTTAATATGTTCTATTTTTAATGCTTTCAGTGCTGTTTCAGAATAAGCAAAATCTTCTTCATTAATGCTTTCGACTATTGTTAAATTGTAAATATTGAGATATTCCACAGGTTTGGGCCAAAGGAACCGAAAAACTCTAACCAAGCATTTCCAAGTTGTTTCCATGTGGTTGAGAGTAAAGTTCAGTAAGGTTGGACCTCTAATGAGTTCCAATAAAAAGTTAATTAAGACTTGACAGTTCTCATCATTCAATTTAATATTTGTCAGCTGTAAGCACCCTAAAGTATTAACTGATATGTTCACTTGGACAGAAAATAAACTCTCTGGGTGGAAAACAAAATGAAGTGATTTTGTGTTCAGAATTTGAAGACTTTCTGCCTCATTTTCTTTCACGTAATAACCTCCTAAATCCAGAAGAATGTAATTTAGATGCAAGTGAGCAATTGGTAGCAGATCTAATAGCTGGAACTTTGCAGCACTTAATCCCAAGAAATTCAGTTGCGTCAAGTTGCCAAATTCTGTACAGATGGGCAGAGCATCAAAGTCATTGAATGAGAGATCTAAATGTTTGACACCCACCACAGGGTAGCAGGATATCTTTTGCAACTGATTGTGAGATAAATCCAAATATTCCAGGTAGCGGTTGAACTTGAAAACACTAAAATCAAGTCTCTGGATTCTATTATGGTAAAGTCGCAAAACTTTCAGCCCCGACAAGAAGCTGAAGTCAGAGATCTGAAGCTCAGATATGTAGTTTTGAGATATGTCTAAGACTTCAGTTCTTGGTGACAGGTCTTTCGGAACATGCGTCAGGCCTATTTTTGACATGTCTACTCTAAGTTCATTTTCACCAGAGACCTGGACTATGATTCCGACTATTAAGATCACGATACAAAAAAACCAAAGGTTTGTGACAACAGGCTCTTTGTCTGGGGTCATGATGCAATGGTTCTCCTCAAGGGCCGCTGTTCTTCTGACCATTTTGAATTCAGTCCAGTTTCTAGAAATTCGACATATAGTAAAATGAGTAAAGTTTGAATGATGGCTTTCAAACTTCCGCTTCCTAAAAGCTCAATGACTTCTTCATTCACAATCACAGTCATTTCTGTCCCCAGATTTTTACATGATATTTTTTTCCCTGTTACACAGCTTGCTGGTGCCAGGGGGAACACAAGGAATCATGGCCATATGTTTTGACTTGTCCAGTGGCTCCCTAAGGATTCACTATGGGGTTGTCTTTGCTTCACATACCTCAGAAGTTTAAGAGTTGGAGAAACCTCCTGGGTGGTGTTTGTGGGAAAGATTTAAAGGTAAATATACTAGCTGCAGCCACATGGGGCAAGAAATAACAGATAAGCAAGCCATTGACCTACCACAAAGCCAGGGAGGGAAGAGGCTGGGAACAGAGCTACGCGAGAGAACAGAGGCTTCGGAAAGCTCCATGTATGCCCACAAATCCACAAGTCCACACCCTGCCCAGAGCTGGACCCAGGCTCAGAGAAGAGCTGAGAAAGGTCTAACCTTTCACCTCTGCTGAATGTCTAGGCTCCACCTGAGCAGAAAGTGAAGACTAAGGCAGAAGGTCTCCAACATGGAGCCAGCCTGCAAAGATCCAGAGTTGGTTTGTTTTTTTGTTTTTGTTTTTGTTTTTGTTTTTGGTGTTTGGTTTGTTTTTTTGCTCCAGGTGTTTGAGGAAATCTCAAATCACTAGTTGACCACTGAGCTAACAGAAAATTCAGCGTTCACAGATGACAGTCATTCCAAATATTGTTTAGAAAAGTCACTGAATAAGTGAACAACTCTGACCCACAGCAGGCAGCAACAAGAAGCCCTGGAGGAGGTGAGAATCTGATTTCTAGTTACCACATTAGAATATTTAAACTATAAAACTTCTAGAAGAAAATATGTCTGACTTGAAAAAAAAAAGTATTGTTCACTCCTGGGTTGGGAAAGTACTTAAAAGAATAATGTCAAAGTCAAAGAAATGACACACCCAACATCAAATCTCACTCTGACACTACAGTAATCAAGACAGTGTGGCGCTCCCTCCCTCTCTCTCCTCTCTGATCAACATGTGAGCTGCTTCCCTCTGCCACAGTCTTCCACCATGATGTTCAGCCTCACCTTGAGTCCCAAGGAATGGAACCAGACTTCTGTGGACTAAGACCTCTAAAATCAGTCTTGATTAGCACCTGCACAGGACTCCTGGCTGCCCACCCATGCAGGAATCCCAGCTGCTGTTCCCACACAGGACACCTGGCCACAGCCCACATGCAGGAACTCCGGCCACTTCTCCCTTGTGGATCCCCATCTACCAATGTGGGGCTCCTCCGGTGACCTCCAACTTGGGGCACTGCAACCACTGCCACAGTCCCCTACGTGAGGTAGCCTGCACGTTGGAACACTGCACTGGGTCTGGTGACAGCTGCCAGCCACAATACTGCATGCTGCGGAGCTGCATCTCTGAACAAGCCACTCAAAGCCACCACCCGGCCCCACCCAACCCAGCAGCCCATGGCTGAAAGTAGCTTCCTCCATCTTAGGACATCTTCGTGGTCATCTTTAGTTGGGGCAACTCTCAGCTTGGAAATCTGGCTGAGCTTAGAAGCAATATCCAGGTACTGAAAGCCCCCAACTTCTCTCCCTCCTCAGCAGCCCCTAACCAGGCACCATGCCTGAGGCTATGGGGCCTGTCCCTAGCTCACAAAACCGGGTCGCAAAACCGGGTCCCAAACTACTCAACATAAAACAGCTCTCTGCAACAGGTGTGCAGCCCCCAGAGCGCAGCCCACAAGACCTCTGGAGAGAAAGGTTCCTGATTGGAAAGTAGAAAGGGAAGGGGTGAGTGAGATACAGTCAATAGACTGAATTAGAGACCAAGAATGGCGAGGTCTACAGGTGATATAAGGAGATAAGACCAGGTGCCCACATCACACAAGTGGGCCCCAAAGGAGATCCTTGGGGTACAATCTCCCATTGGGGAATGGCAAGGACTATACCCCACCTCCAGGAGCCATGCCACAAGACCAACCCTCCCACCCTAATAACCTTCACCATTCTGAGGATGGAGGTACAAGCAAACAACAGAAAACCCTACCTATTGGATGAGAAGGTGAGCTGGAAAGATGCTGATCTCCAACAAAAACAATCCTTGTATTTTCCTCTGAGATTCTCTCTCTCTCTCTCTCTCTCCCCTCCTGCCCTCAAATCCCCAACATTTGTGAAACCAAGTTCTTTTCATGAATTAGGCTACTGAGGACTAGAATGTTTGAATAGTGTTATTACAGTGATGTTATATATTATTTTATCTCCTATTTTTACATTTTTTACTTTTCTTAATATTTATGTTTGTTTGTTTATTGTACTGTACTGTATTCCCACTTACTTGTCTCCCCAAATCACTTTCTCTCTCTTCTCCTGCTACTAATCAACTTCTTTAGATTCCTCTTTCACGCTTTCTAAGATCTGATAACTCCAAATCCTCACCTCCTATCCCCTCAGCATCTCATCCTACACCTCACTCCAGGTTCTTTGTCACCATCAGAAACTATAGACCCTTTTGCAAACCTATGTTTATATTGTAGATAATAATTTAATTCACCATTTCTGTATATTGTGACAAAGTCATAAACATCTTAATAGCAGCTATTTGGTTTAAGGTTGTATATTCTGTGTATTAGGATCTGTTCACATTGTTCTCCCCCTTAAAGAAGAGGTATTGAAAACCTGCAGGGACACTGTAAGCCTATAGGGTAAAAGCCGTAAAGCCATGGATCTGCAGTGCTAGAAGGAAGGACACAGGAACAACATGAAAAAATAAAGGAAAAAAGTGCCCCCCCCAAAACAAGATAATACGTTATTAGAATCCATGGCCAGAACAACAGAAGAAATTACAGAGAAAGAGTTCAGGATGTACATAATTAAAATGTTCTGTGAATTCAAGGATGATATAAGAGAGCGATTATAGGCAGCAAAAGATCATTTCTATAAAGAGCTACGTAAGCAAATACAGGAAACAAAAGATTATTTCAATAAGGAGATAGGGGTTCTGAAAAAAAAAAACAGAAATCCTTGCAATGAAAGAAACAATAAACCAAATTAAAAGTTCAATAGAAAGCATCACCAACAGATTAGATCATGTAGAAGACAGGACCTCAAAAAATGAAGATAAAATATATAATCTTGAAAAGAATGTTGACCAGATGGTGAAAATGATGAGAAACCATGATCAGAACATTCAAGAATTATAGAATAACATAAAAAGACCAAATTTTAAAGTTATTGGGATAGATGAAGGCATAGTTCTGAACCAAAGGGATGAACAATATATTCAATAAAATAATATCAGAAAATTTTTCAAACATGAAGAATGAATTGGAAAATCAAGTATAAGAGGCTTATAGGACACCAAATGTACAAAATCACAACAGATCCACACCAAGGCACATTATAAATGAAAATGCTTAGCATACAGAATAAGCAGAGAATTTTAAAAGCCACAACAGAAAGGAATCGGGTTATATATAGGGGAAAACAATTAGGATATCTGCAGATTTTTCAATCCAGACCCTGAAAGCCAAAAGATCCTGGAACAACACATATCAAGCTCGGAAAGAAAATGGATGCCAACCAAGAATCTATATCCAGCAAAATTAAGCCTTAAATTTGATGATGAAATAAAAACCTTCCATGATAAACAAAAGTTAAAATAATTTACAACTAGAAACCCGCACTACAGAACATCCTCAGCAAAATATTCCATGAGGAGGAAACAAAAAACAACAATGAAAATCAGCAAAGGGGGGTATTACACTAAAGGAAATACTTATCAAAGGAGAAAACAAGTTAAATAACAAAAATAAACAATATGACTGGGAATACAAATCATGTCTCAATAATAACCCTGAATGTTAATGACCTAAACTCACCAAACAAAAGACATAGACTGGCAGATTGGATTTTAAAAAGCCTTCAAAAGACCCATCTCATAGGAAAAGACATCCACAGCCTGAAGGTGAAAGGTTGTGAGATAACATATCACTCACATGGACTGTGGAAACAAGCAGGAGTTTCCATCCTCATATCAAATAAAGTAGACAATGAGCCAAAGTTAATCAAGAGGGATAAAGAAGAACATTTCATACTGTTCAAGGGAACCATTCATCAACAAGACATAACAATTATAAATATATATGCCCCAAACAATGGAGCATCTACATTCGTCAAACAAACTCTTCTCAAATTCAAGAGTCAAATAGACCACAACACAATAATTCTGGGTGACTTTAACACATCTCTTTCACCACTGGATAGATCTTCCAAACAAAAGCTGAACAAAGAAACTATAGAACTCAATAATATAATCAATAACTTAGACTTAACAGACATATATAGAATATTTCATCCTTCAACGAGTGAATACACTTTCTTCTCAGCAGCACATGGAACCTTCTCTAAAATAGAACATATATTATGCCACAAAGCAACTCTTAGCAAAAAAAACAAAAAAAAAAATAGATACTACCCTGAATTATATCAGATCATAATGGAATTAAATTAGAAATCAATGATAAAATAACACCTGGAGACTAAATAATATGTTATTGAATGAACAATGGGTTGCAAAAGACATCAAAGAGGAGATTAAAAAATTCTTAGAGGAAATGAGAACACTGATACAACATATAAAAATCTCTGGGACACTATGAAGGCAATACAAAGAGGAAAGTTCATTGCATGGAGTTCATTCCTTAAAAGAAGAAAAAGTCAGCAAATAAATGACTAACATTACATCTCAAAACCCTAGAAAAATAAGAACAAATCAATACCAAAAGCTGTAGAATACAGGAAATAATTAAAATCAGAGCTGAAATCAAGGAAATTGAAACAAAAGAAACAATTGAAAAATTGACAAAACAAAAAGTTGTTTCTTTGAAAAATAAATAAAATTGATAAACCCTTAGCCATGATAACAAGAAGGAGAAAGAAAACTCAAATTAC